ATGTGGGGGATTTAAAAATCTAGTTAAAGGCTATTCTAAAAGATGCGTTTTTAGGCCTTTTTTGAACGCCTCCACAGTCTGTGGTGTCCTCAGCTGGTTTGGGAGGGCATTCCACAGTCTCGGAGCAGCGGAGCAGAAGGCTCGGTCTCCCATGGTCTTCAGTTTTGTCCTTGGTGGGATGAGGAGGTTTGCCTTTACTGAACGTAGGTTCCTCGTGGAGGTTTGTGGGGTGAGCAATTCCTTGATGTAGGAGGGAGCATTTCCATATATGCACTGATGAGTGAAGAGGGTGATTTTGTAGTCAATCCTGAGTGAGACCGGGAGCCAGTGCAGTGATTTGAGGATGGGTGTGATGTGTTCGTACTTCCGCACTCTCATCAGGATCCTAGCAGCTGTGTTTTATGTATTGCAGCTTCTGGATGTTCTTGCTAGGAATCCCAATGAGAAGTGCGTTACAGTAGTCCAGCCTGGAGGAGACAAAGGCGTGGACAAGCTTTTCAGCATCTGGCAGACTGAGTGTGGGGCGGAGTTTCGCAATATTTCTAAGGTGGTAGAAAGAGGTCTTGCATATTTGCTTGATGTGGGCCTCAAAGGTCAGGTGAGGATCCATTTTAACTCCCAGATTGGTAACCGTTGGTGAGAGTGGAATGTTCTGACCGGAGAAGGTGATGCTGGTGATGGCGGATGAACGGACCTGATGTGGAGTGCCAATAAGAATGGCTTCAGTCTTGGAGCTGTTTAGCTGGAGAAAGTTGTGCTTCATCCACACCTTTATCTCCTCCAGGCATGTGGTTATTGTGGATGATGGCAGAGGTGCAGAGGGGGTTGGGTTTGCTCTGATGAAGAGCTGTGTGTCATCAGCATAGCAATGGAAAGATATTCCATGCCGGCTGATGACACGACCAAGGGGGGATATGTATATGGTGAAAAGGGTGGGGCCGAGGACTGATCCTTGGGGGACACCGCAAGTCACAGAGTGAGTTCTTGATTTAGCCGCTCCCAAGGTGACGTGCTCAGTCCTCCCGGTGAGATAGGAGGTGAACCAGTTTAAGGCAGAGTCAGAGAGTCCAATTGTAGTGTGAAGACGGTGGAGTAGGATGTCATGGTCGACGGTATCAAATGCTGCAGTTAGATCCAGGAGGATGAGGAGAGATGGAGATCCGGTGACAGCTGTCATCAGCAGGTCATTGGTCACCCTCACTAAGGCAGTTTCTGTACTGTGGCCCTGGCGAAAACCAGACTGGAATTTTTCAAAGATTGTATTCAGTGTTAGATGTTCCTGGATCTTAATGGCAACTACTTTCTCCAGTACCTTGGATAGGAATGGCAGGTTGGAGATGGGTCTGTAATTGGCTAGGACTTCAGGGTCTAAAGTGGGTTTTTTGAGGAGTGGTTTGATGACAGCAGCTTTTAATGGTGGTGGAACACGACCAGACTGGATGGACTGGTTTATCACTGAAGTGATCAGCGGACTTATGGCACCAATGTTCAATTTAACCAAAGCTGTGGGAAAGGGGTCCAGAGCACAGGTGGAGGGTTTCATCTTTTTGATGATGGCCTCAACTTCATGCTGCGAGATGTTAGTGAAGTCCCGAAGTCTGGGTCGGTCCAGGCTGGGGGTTGACGGTCAGGACTAGCAGAGCAGCGGAATTTGAGAGGAGAGAGCGGATGGTCTCTACCTTTTTCCTGAAAAATGTGATGAAATTATCACACTGCTCCTCTGTGGTGTCTTTGTGTAGCGGAGTCTGAGGTTTGAGGAGATGGTTTATGGTGGAAAAAAGTAGCTTGGAGTTGCCAGGGCTATTGTTGATGATGGCGGAGTAGAATTTTGACCGTGTGTCTCTGAGGGACTTTGCGTAGGCATTTTGGTGGTCCCGGTATGCCTGTCTGTGAACAGAGAGGCCTGAAGCCTTGAAGCGCCGCTCAAGGACACGCCCCGCTGTCTTCATTTTCCTCAGCTCGCAGGTGTACCAGGGGGCTGAGCGTGAGAAAGTGACTGTTCTGGTTTTGACAGGGGCGTGGAGATCCAGGAGACTGCTCAGAGATTTATTGTAAAAATCCACAGATTCATTTACTGATGTAGGAGTTATTGTGGAGAGATGCTGGAGATCCGAGGTCACGGTGTCCGGGTTGATCGAGAGCTATTTGATATTTAAAAAAATATTTTGAAACCATTTTTTCTACAACTTTATATACATCTTGTCTCAAGACAAGTATTTTTAACACAACAAGTGCATGTTTTAGCTTTTTGGGCATGGCTTATTTGATTTTTTATATGGGGGACATGAAATGTCCTCCAATTCTGGAATGACCGAATAAAACTGCATGATCAATATTCTACACAATAACAACACATAGCTGGACAAACAAAATTACATGTATTGTCCAACCCAGTGGCGTAACAAGGTTGTGATTGGCCCCGGTGCAAATATTGTTTTGGGCCCTCTCTATCGCCCCAAACATAAGCGCATGCTGATGCGCTCACACACACACGGACATACACAACCACTCAGAAGCGCCACATGTATAGGCTATCAACAACAGCCTGCCCTGGCCTCAGACCACCACAGCCTGACAATGGCACAGCGAACTAAGAAGAACATTAAACCTGTTTCCTTGATGTTTGTCTCTGGGGAATGGGCTGGTAGGCCTACATGGACCGGTTGCTATAATATAGCTTTTGATCTTGGCGTCGGGGGTCTCAATAGAGCCATAGAATCCCCTATTGGTTGAGGCCCTTCGGGGAACTGTTGGACCACCGCCGGGCACAGCCAAATCCAGCCTCTCCTCCTGGCTGGCTGGAGAAGAAGGTTGCACAGCCACGGCCACGGATACAGCTTCACTTGTGGAGCTACATGGCAATCAGGGCCGGCCCTCGGCATAGGTAGTATAGGCGAATGCTAAGGGCACATCAACCCATAGGGGGCGCCGAAAATTGGGGGAAAAAAAGAAGAAAAAAAGTTAGAAATTAAAAAACATTTTTTTTTAAATTTCATATTACAATTTCCCGATTTTGGATAAACAAAGTACATCTTATCTTATAGTAACAGAACTACGCCTATATTGCGTACAGCTAAAATATTGCCTAGGGCAGCAAATTGGTCAGGGCCGGCCCTGATGGCAATGATGGTGGTGAGACAGGTGAGCTATCGTTAGCCTCCGGCTCCGGCTGCCCGTCAACATTGCTAACGTTAGCGCTCGATTTCGAGGACGATGTATGACAAAAAAATGGTCTAATTTGGTCAGTTTAGCTGTTGCATCTCCTTGTTCTCTCTTGTCCTTTCTCTTTTGAGCGCTGCTCTTGTGCTTTGGTTTGTTGTACATTATAAATGCAAGCTATTACATGTTTTATAATGCTACCGAACTTGCTGCTGCTAGCTACAGTACAGTACAGGTTGATTAAATGGTTCACATGACATGACAGGGAGCACGGTCATTGGACAGACACATTTAAAATGTATTTAGGTTGCTTGGTTACTTTTGAAGACTGCGTGAACCAATCAATGCCATTGGGGCCCAAAACAAATATATTTAACAAATATTTTGTATTTGTTTTGCATGGGCCCCTGGCCGGCTCTGGGCCCCGGTGCGTTGCACCGGCTGCATCGTCGATAGTTACGCCACTGGTCCAACCCACCCTTACCCTTGTTCGCGGACGACTCAGCCCTGCTGGTCTCTGACAGGAGCAGATTGCAGGTTAAAAAAAAACTCAGCTCCGGGCTCGGCAGAATCTGCACCTGGCTCGCCGATAATAAATTATCATTACACCTGGGTAAAACAGAGTCCATTCTCTTCGGTTCGAAACATAATCTCAGCAAATCCGACGACTTCTCAGTTGCAGTGGGTGACATTATTGTCACAAGTAAGAAGGAAATTACATACCTAGGATCTATTCTTGAGGCAAACCTCTCCTGTGACAAAATGGCATCCAATGTAATAAAACAAGTCAATCAAAGAACTAGATTCCTATACCGGATCAAAAACACCTTGAAAACTCTGGCAGGAGCACTCATTCAAGGGTACTATGACTATGCTTGCACGTCATGGTACCCATAGCACCTCCAAGGCGCTAAAAATAAAAATTCAAACATCGCAAAATAAACTGGTCAGACTACTGCTTGACCTTTCATCTAGAACCCACCTCACCTCTGCCCACTTTGACAACCTAGGATGGCTTAGAGTAGACGACAGAGTACAGCTACTTGCAATGGGCCTGGTCTACAAGATCCACTACACCTCTATGGTACCCATGTACATGTCAAAATTATTCCCAAAGGTCAAGGAATACCATGATCATAACACCAGAGGGAGCTCCACAAATCATGTGAAACCCAGATTTGGCACAAAAAAGGGGGAATACACGTTTCGCAATTATGCCACATCAAGGTGGAACGCTCTTCCCACAACTGTAAAGAAAAGTAAAACTATACGTACCTTCAAAACCTCTCTTAAAGAGCACCTTCGGGGGAGAGCATTGCAAAACTGGCGCCGGTAATGGTACAAATCTCAACCTGTCGTACAATGGACAGCTTCCCCCCCCCCCCATCTATGTATATACTCGCATTTTAGACTCTGTTAATAACTGTATATCTGTAGACTTGGTATGTCTTAAATGTCCGGTTAGGATGTATTAGAACGAAATCTAAAATGAAAATTGTAAATAAGCAATCTGTATGTAAAAAACCACCTGTATGTAAATTGTAAATAAGCCATCTGTATGTCAAATATGTCTTATATGTCTTAGATATGATGAATTGGAAATGGGGGACCCTGATGTAAACAAGACGAAAGTATTTCTCTGGTCTGCATCCCCTTAACAATTGTATGTTTTGAGCTGTACTGTACTGTACCCAATATACAAGCTGTTAATAAACTTTTCAATCAATCAATCAAACCCTTTATTTTCTTCCCAGGACCGAGCGAGAATCGAGCGCACCCACATCTCTGTAACCCCGCCCCTCCGGGTGACTCCCCCAATGACGCCATCAGAGTACGCCCAATGCGGGGGCATTGTGGATGGGCCTGGCTGCTGCGCCGTGGAGAAAAACGTGCATGCATCTCGTGTGGTGTGTCATTGACAAACAAACCGAGCCAACGTTCACAGAAACGCTTCTCTGTGTTTTATACAAGCGCTGCATACAAATAGCACCAACAAAAAGAGGGATTCATAAAGGGCTCGCGGCATGCATGCACGCGTTACTGTGCGCGCGGATATTCGAAGGTGTTGGAGGTTTTCGAGTAATTAAAAGTGGACCTATGGAGCTGCTGCTGGCACACGGAGGGCTGGGCTGTGACTTCTGACTGCCTGCATTGTTGCATGTTTCCTCGAATGGAATAATTGTCCTCCTCATTCATCAAAGGAATATTATTGATTGACCCTCCGTTTCACTCTCAATGGTGCTTGAAGGGTAAGCAAAAACCAAGATGTCAGCGCATTGTTTATTCTTTAAAATCATCACCGCCTTCGTGCCTTTGTTTTTTCCCATTCGTTCCCCTTTCTGTATGTTTGTAAGCTAGAAAGACCCTGGTGCACACTTTTGTGAAATACACATGCATTTCCAAGTGCAGCATGATGCCTTTGTAGGAGGCCTTTGGCCACAAAAACACCGTGGGTCTGTGTCTCTTGTGTTTGCAGAGAGATGGACGGCATAGGGAACAACATGCAGAAGAAGGCTGCAGAGCTGGAGCGGCTCGCCGAGGTGCTCGTCACCGGAGAACAGCTGAGGTAGGTCGGTGTGACCCGGGGCAGGAATCAGGCGGACCCTGCGTGTGTTTGTAGGGCACACATTCAGTGGAAGCAGGGTCATCTGCAAAACTGACCACTTCATTTACAACCATGACTGAGTAGCTACTAATAAATACATCCTGTAAGTAAACAATCATTGTTTAGTTAGTCCTCAATGGTGTATATTTGTGTGGCTGAGATTTGGTTGAACAAGGAACTGTCTGGACAAAGTGGGGTGGTGTTAGCATGTTTGACAGTAGGTCAATCATCAAGCATGTTGCTCCCCCTCACTGCAAACTGGCACTAGAGGCAGGTCCACCGCAGGATATACAGGCAGACAAAGTCGTCCACACATGCACCCCTTCCTGTGTACATGCTGCTCCTACTGTGACGTGCACATTTCAGCCTGAGGCATTCTTAAAGATATTGTTTTGCTTTATACAGGACTGAACACATGACTCATTTAGATTGCTTCAGTAATAAAATGCACCTTTGAGCTGCACATGGAATGACCATCCTACTAATCATTATCATGCCCTTCCCATTCCTATCAGGGAATTGTATGGCTAACCTTGGCAGAGTTGTTGACATACTTTTGGCACCCTTTAACCTACTGTACTCAAAGAAAGGCTCCAAAACCCCAGTGGCATTCTCTGGCTCATGCTTCCGCGAATGAATAGAGGCTCAGTAGGTAAAGCATCGCACCAATGCCTGGAATTTCAGCCCACGGCTAAACTATGAGGAAAATACGGCACTAAATAGTGCTTTCCAGCTGGGTGGGATACACTGTTAGAGCTTTGGCTGTCTCTGAAGAAGTACCCGCTGTTCTGAAGGACCATAAAAAGTAACACCAGTCAACACCTCAAGAGATTAATAGTTTGTGCCTGGATATTTCTTTATTGAATTCTCTTAGCATTGGTTTATGTTTTCTGGGTGTCATCATGTACTGTGTGTGCTTGTGTTAGTGTCCCTGGCACAGCTGTATACTGAGGCTGCCAGCTGGCAGTGGGGCCTCTGTCAGTGAACTATGGGTAGGGCGGGCTCGCTATGCCAGAGTCCTTTGCCATTGAGAAACTGCTGTTCTGGGGGAAAGGGCTCAAGGATGTGACATTCGGGTCTCACTCTGTGTCTCTAAATCTCAGTTTTTCTGCCTTTTGTGCAGACATTGCAGTCCAAGAGCTTTCTTAGTCATGCTGCTTGCATGACTCTAGCGATGGGGATTTAAAAACTCCTGTTCCTTTCTCCAAATATTCCAACAACTATTGGATTGATGGCAAATGAAACTTGGTAGAACTTGCATGCCCCGCTCAGGATGAATTGTAATAGTTTCTGTGTTCTCTTAAAGTAATAAGAAATGGTTATTTTAATGTCCGTCCCTTTTTTAATATTTCTATGATTTGTTTTTTGGACAACACGGCTGCAAAACAATAATTCTTCCATAAGCCTCGGCTGTACTTTGGGTTTGTTAAAGTAAGTGAACATGGTAAATATACCTCCTTAACATCAGTATGTTTCATTTTAGTTGTGAGCATTTAAAGTTATTTTTGCTAGGCCTTTCTATAGTCTTTCATTGATTTTGTTTGTAGTTACAGTCTCCAGGACAAATACTGACTGGAAAGTTTAATCATTGATGCTCTTCCTCATCGATTCACCATGAATCACTGCTTTTATGTTATCCTTTGGTCTAAATTGTTATATCAGACCAAGGACTAAGAAAGTTACAGTCGTTACATTTTGTGAACTGTAGAGTTCATTAAAATACAATTTGACATTAAATAAGACACAGCTCGTACAAAAGCTAGGAGTGAACATAAGCCATACCTTTTGTTTGATCATTTTATTACAAGTTTATAGAAAAGTGTTAGTTCCTGGTACTGATAAGAGCATGCTGTCTGTTTTGTAACCTCTTATCACACATTTGTGATTTGTGTGACCATCATAGCAACTGCTTGTAATGTAGTGCAGATCTGTTTCAGGCACTGCGTTGAAACAGACAGAAAGACAGAAACCATGACCCACAGACACACAGCTGCTGTAGTAAGGCTTGTGACCAGTTCATCGCTGTGAATAGACCGTTTGTTGCGCTAGGATGACTGTGATAGAAAAAAAGGCTTTGTGAATGTTTGCAGCCTGGGGCCTCATCATGGTCATACTGGGAGCCAGAGATTCATTCAGGAACTCTGTCGCTTCTCATTTTTTTATCCACACCACACATTTAGGAAGTTCTATAACAGAGAGTGACCAACACAGCGAGAAAACCTTCCACAATGAGCATTGTGTAACCAAAAATCTACATGAATGATATTGCTTCCAGCTCTAATTAAGACATAACTTAAAAGTGGAGGAGGAGGAAAGGATGATGCTGGACCCGATTGGAAGTGAAATCTGTTCAGCTGATGTTGTTTGTGGGTCTCAGTGCAGGATTGGACCAGGCTGTCACTGCTAATCCGAAGAGATGCTCGCCAGCTGCACACAGACTCAGCATGGAGGGGGGCTAGCTAGCTGCAGGAAGCTCAGCTAAAGGCTGTGGTGGGCTGTTTCACAATAATCAGGGTCAGGAAGAGGTCCGCTTGATGATGTGAAACCTGCATCTAGGCCATCTGTAGAGGCAGTAGAGGGTTATCATGTCTCCATGCAAATAGTGACAATATAAATTCCAGCAGCCGGTGTTTGAATGCCATGCTTTCACCTTGAGCCTAGTGGAGTGGTTTGCTCTGTCTAGTAACATATAAATATAGATTTGACCTTGTATGAATGTTCAGTTTGTTCTTAGGTAAATATTTTCCCCTTGTATACAATATTTGTATAAATATACAAGATATTGTTTGAATATACACTTATTTTCTAGTAGAATGACAGCCAACTTTAAGACCTTGACACTTTTGTCATTACTTTCATTCTATTTTTTTGGTAAATGTTGTATTGGATGTAGAATTATAGTCTTTTTCCTTTTAACTGACAACAAAAAATAACCTTTGTATTAAAGATGATAATGCTACTGTTATTTGTAGTGTGTATGAATATTGAAAATATATAAAAATGGTTGTATATAAATAAATAGGTGAAAAGTGAATTAAGAATATTTACTTTGTCAGGAGGCAATGTTATTAGAGAGTAAAAGTACTTATACAACCCATTGGGCAAATAGTAAAAAACATTATCATTACTCCGTTCACAGTGTTGATGGAACATTTTTAATCTGAACAAATCCCTCTTCCTCTCCTATATGCAATTAGAATAAAATATTAAAAACTTAACATCAAAAGGTATAAAGATAGGTTGTCATGAACACCTTGATATGAACCTAAAAAGACTTGCAAACAAGAAAGGAATGATTTCAGGTATATATAAACTTCTCCTCACCTCAACCGCCAATACTAATCTGCAGTCACAGAAAAGATGGGAGCAGGACTTAGGCATCACCCTTACCCCAGTTGAGTGGGACAGAATCTGGTCAAACTCAACATCAGTCTCCAAGTGTGTCCGGTTTAGAGTAATACAGTTAAAAATCCTTCACAGAGCATACATCACACCCTGTAGACTAAAAAAATGGATCAAACACTCTCGGGCCTATGCTGGCATGGTTGTGCGGAAGTGGGTGCCCTTTTACATTGTTTTTGTTCCTGTCCGGCTCCTGAACATAGAGATACTCTTAACTCCAGCTACATGCTTGCTGGGATCCCTGCTCAATGGCATAACATCAACATTTGCAAGTAAACGTATAGCCCTAGCGTGCCTTTCAACTAAAAGCCTCGTTCTTATGAACTGGAAAGTCAGAAAGCCCAACTGCTTCAATTTAAATAGATGGCTGGAGGACTTCCTAAACATCTTAAGTATGGAAGAAGCTGCTTTCTCCCTGTTATATTTGGTTAAGCCAGACAACAGGCTTTGGGATAAGATAAGGGCTTTCCTGGACTCAAACCATCTCGGCTGCCAACAATAATATAATAATATATATTAATAAATAAATATAAATAAAGAGAAATGAGCTATGAAAAACAGAAAAATAACGGTAATAATAATGAAAGAAGTGAAATTAAATGGGAAATGGATGAATAGGTGAATTAATCATAAGAGAAAGAGATGTGTGTGTGTATATGTACATATGTGTGCATATATATGTATTTATTTTTTGACTATTTATCTATTTATCTACCTATTAAACAATGAAGTATACCTATATTATAAAGCAAATCATGTATAAATACAACACCATATGCACACATCAAATGTAACTGACACTGTAATCCCCCTGCCTCCCACCCTTCATGTTAT